GCAGTAGTCCGGAGACGTAGGCATTATTGGCCGAACTCCGTTATCAATTTGGTGTGTCCAAATTTTAATTTTTTATTTCACTTTTATAGATCCGACTTCATGGAAATTTCAACGTATTTTTTCCCAACACTATAAAGATCCGAAATTTTCCATTAAAAAATAAAAGTGATTTTTTAATTGAGCAGTGGAAGTGAAAAGCAACCATGGCGGCTCTGCTTTTGAGCAATGCTTGCTTCCCTGCTTTTAATCGGAGTACAGTTCCTACAGTTCGAGCTGTGGCTTCTGAACAAGGGAGTATTGGTTTGAGGACAGCTGAGGAGAGCAAAGTGAAACTTGGAGGTTCAGAACTGCAGGTGACCAAGCTTGGTATTGGGGCTTGGTCATGGGGTGACACCACCTATTGGAATAATTTTGATTGGGATGGTCAATTTTTCTTCAACCCTTTTGAAATTCTTGTGACTATATTCTGGAATTATGTGATTTTTTTTTATTTTTTTTTTTTTGTGTATGTTTGTGTGATTTGATTAATGTGCAAGTGATGGAAAATGAAACATTTTTACTTCTTGAATTCTTGTTTTACTTTTGTAGACTTTTCTGAAGGAAATTGAATATTGTTGTTTTGTGGTATTCTGGCACCAGGGTTCTAAAATGAAAGTCTAGCATTACCTGCAAATATACAGAATGTTGCTACAGACTTTATAAACTTATTGATCTATTTGTTCCCATTTGCTCTAGGGATTTAGTTTAAGTGGATTTTAGATACTAGTTCGTATTCTTACGTAGCTCCTTTTGTAGGTAACTAATTTGGCTAGAAATGACGGATTTTGGTAATGGGACTTTCTCTTATAATGCAGAAAGATAGAAAAGCGCTTGCAGTGTGTGCAGTTGGAGATTAGCCGATTTTTCACCTTCATCTATAGTTGTTATTTCATTGCAGAAGTCAATAATCTCCATGAACCTTTTCAAGTAGTAAAAAAGTAAATGAATATTCATGAGTAGATTGAGATATCCCTCAAATCTGACTGCATTATGCGCTAATAATGATACGCGTGGCACTCGGTTTAATCTTTATGTTATGATGTCCAGATCGCAAATTGAAAGCTGCTAAGGCCGCTTTTGATACCAGCATTGATTGTGGTATAACATTCTTTGATACTGCCGAAGTCTATGGTTCACGGGTATGAATTACGTGGAATTACCTAATTTGTCAACCCATTTTAATTAATGGGATGAGATAGGTTAAAAAAAAAAAATCATTTTTTTCCTGTTCTTGCAGATGTCATTAGGTGCAATTAGCTCTGAAACCTTACTTGGGAGGTAGGCTCTAAAATATATTCTTGCTTCTGCGAATGAATATATGTTGTCTCGTTTTTCTGTTTTCAATTTTGGACATTAAGCCTAATTGCCAAAAAAAAAAAAAAAAAACTCAAAAATTTTTCAGGATCACAAATACTGCTTAAAAGATAATGATGTTTACTAAGAAAAAAACCCAACAATCTTTGTTCACAATTATGAGTTTTCTTTCTGCAGTTAGATTAAATCACATGGATAGTGTTTTGTAATTAAACACTTTCAGTTATTACAATCCTAAGGTTTATCAAGGAAAGGAAGCAAAAAGATCCTGAAGTCGAGGTAGCCATTGCTACCAAATACGCAGCTTTGCCGTGGAGGCTCGGTAGACAAAGTGTCATTTCTGCACTTAAGGACTCTTTAGCCCGTCTCGAGTTATCTTGTGTGGATCTCTATCAGCTCCATTGGTATATGAAACAAAACACCAGAATTCAAGTTTAGAACTTTTTGTGCATATATATATTGATTGATTTTATTCCTTCGAACGAATTTCAGGCCAGGAATATGGGGAAATGAAGGTTGTTGTTGATAGTTATTCTCATTGCCTATTTGTCACTAAGGTTGTCGAGTTTGGTACATTTTGATATTATTTAAGTCCACGGGTGGGCTTAGCAAATTTCGAATATTTTTCTTATTTTCCAGGATACATTGACGGTCTAGCCGATGCTGTGGAGCAGGGTCTTGTGAAAGCTGTTGGTGTATCAAACTATAGTGGTAAAAGATTATTGAAAACTAGCTAAAAGTGGCCTTTTATTCTCTATTTCTCCCTTTTAATTCTTTTTTTTAAAAAAAAATAAAATTGGGTTATGTGTTAATTTTTCCTGAACTCTTGGTGTTTAGAAAAGCGTCTTCGTGCTGCTTATGATCAGCTCAAAAAGAGAGGCATACCTCTGGCTTCAAACCAAGTGAACTACAGCCTGATTTATAGGCTCCCGGAGGAAAATGGTGTGAAATCCGCATGTGATGAATTAGGAATCAGTTTAATAGCATATTCGCCACTCGCTCAAGGTGAACCAAACTCACAACGTTTATTGATTAACATTGGATTTGTGGTCCCTTTACGTATGCTATCTATCTTGATAATAAATGACGGAAGAAGATTTAGACCATACAAAGATTTGAGTAAATTCGCAGCATTTTACCAATTACAGATAAAACCCAGTCACATTTTATATTTGCATGTGATGGATTAACATGAAACGAACCCCATGAGGTGTTATTAACATTTTTTGGGGCGTATTCATATATCTGAAAAGAGAACTTGATTTTGTAATTGGCTAAACCTCGGGGGTTAGTTTGTTAATGTATGTCCCTGTAGTTGATCGAAGTAAAACGAGAGTTGTGTGGCATCTCAGGTGCTCTAACCGGGAAATATACCCCAAAAAACACACCCTCAGGTCCTAGGGGACGAATTTACACCTCCGAATTTATGACGAGAGTAAGTCCTTTCATGTATCATAACTTGTCCAAATTGTTTGCTTTTTTTTTTTAAACCGAATTTCTCACTTTAATAAATGTTCATCTTGCAGCTACAACCTTTGATAAACCGGATAAAAGAAATAGGGGACAACTATGGAAAAACTCCAACTCAGGTCCGTCCTTTTAAACGGCCGCATTAAGATACTAATAAGTTATTATTTGAGAATTCATCATTTATATTCCAGGAAGCCAAGCAATGCAATTCCTGAAAGACTGCTCGGTCGTTTCGTAAATTAACCGAAACCGAAGGGTATATTTGTAATTATATAAAAAAACCATCAAATATCAGAATAGTCGCACAAGAACATTTCCATGATCCTTTTCAAATGTTCACATTTTCTTGTTCATTACATTTTTATTTTGGTAAAACTAAAACCTACTCATATTTGTGATTAATGCTTTCACTTACCGACATTTGTTCGCCCTCGACAGGTTGTACTAAACTGGTTAGTTGCACAAGGAAATGTGGTTCCTATCCCGGGAGCAAGAAATGGGGAACAGGCCAAGGAGTTTTCAGGTGCCGTGGGTTGGAAGCTTAGTGAAGAACAGGTCGAGGAGCTTCGGGCCATGGCATCAGAAATAAAACCTGTTATTGGCTTCCCAGTTGAGAAGTTGTAAGCTGCTTGCACCTTCGCATGGCATCATACCATACAGAACGAGCATGTATAACATAGATAGTTTTTTTTTTTCTTTTTTTTTTATCATTTTCTTCTTTTCTCCTTGTGTATACCGCTCAGGCTAAACATGTTTTAAAATTATATATATAGTGGTATATAGATACTTATAGTTCCTGGTGATTTACTCGAAACCAACTGTGTAAACCTATCCATTGATATATTATTGGTTATAAAACAAGAAGTTTCGTATGATCAGTGGTTTATGATTTGCCGGAATTCCAAACCAGCTAGTCCTTGTTCCTAGCTGGTTTACGAACTTACGGCTACAGATATATGGTCTCGGTTTTAACTGCGGTTTTCATCTTTTTCTTTTTTTCTTTTTTACTATGAATGCAGAAACTTGTGCTGGTGGACTTAATTCAAAATTTTAAAGTCGAATTTGAATAATTGAACTATAAAAATGTGAATTACGTTGCTTACGTATCCTCTTGCGTAATCAAGTTCTCGTAATTCATGTACATAAAACTGATGTCATTTAGTGTTGATATCACCATTTTCGTGCAAGTGTTATATAAAAGTATTGTACAATATGCTGATCCAGAATATAAAAAGTTGACAAAAATGTTAGCTGGTGGCCATTTGAAAAAGAAGAAGAAGAGAGGGAAAGGGGTTTACAGACAGAATATTAAATGGAGGCATAAATTTTCCCAATCCAGCCTGGAGACATTCCACGTGGCATGTTGGGCTCATTTTTTCAGATCACAAATTTTTACTGAAAGAGAAGATGTTGATCTCATTAAAAGCTGGGGGTCGGCTAATGTGGGACCACCCCTTATCCAGGAGACCAGGACCACTAATAAGGTAGTGACACGTGGTAGGTGGCTCTGATGGTCCTGGTTCTAAGTTGTGACTTCAAAGCACTGTATAGCTTTTTAGGGTACATAATCAAGATTGCTGTCCTGTTTGCAAAATACTGTTTTTTAGGGTACATAATCAAGATTCTTCTCTGTATAGCTTTTCTTATTTTCCTTCCTTTTTTTATTTTTGTTTTGAATCTTTTGATTTCTTGTTAAGGTTTTGGTGGGTTTGAGGATTTAATTAAGAATCTTCTTGCTCTTAGTTTGTTTGGTTTGGTTTGTTGAGTGCTGTTTTGTGCTCAAGCTTGTAGCTTCCTTTTTTCTTACAAGTGTTGTATTGTAAGAGATGTGAACTTCATAAAAAATTGATCAGTTGGTTTTTAACTAGTCCTTCACACACCCACACACACACAGAGAGAGAGAGAGAGAGAGAGAGAGAGAGAGAGAGAGAGAGAGAGAGGGAGAGAGAGAGAGAGAGAGAGAGATCTTTTAGGGTGAACAAGATTGTTAGTTAGTAGTAATTTATTGCTACTTTGAATAATTTTAGTTACAATTGATGCTGATGATAATTATTTGACCCTTATCTTTGTTCTTTTCATTTCTTTTTGTTTTGGCAGAATTTTTGAAGGATGGATAATTTGCTTTCTGATTGGAATACTGAGATAGGAGTTGGGTTCCCTTTGCCTCTTCAGAAAAAACCTCAGAGGTAATCTTTCTTGCAAAACAGCTAAAACCTGTAGTCTTTGCCTAAAACAAAATAAACAAAATAGTAATCTTTTTTAAGAAAAAAATGCAATCTACAGCTTTCGTCCTTGGCTCTCTTTAGTCTTTTAGAGGTTCTTTACTGTTATAAAGAGCTTATATTGAGTCGTGCTGGCTGTTAAAAAAATAACTGCAGAGTAGAGAATGACCTTGGGGAGCTCTTATGGAAGAACGGTGGGGTAGTCCTAAACAGCCAAACAAATAAAAAGCAACCGAAACAAGTAGCAAAGCACGGCCAATCAAATCCAATCAACTCGATTCAAGATTACGACGCACTCTCATGGGTCGACGAGACCCTTGATAAAGATCTCTTTTCGAGCCTCTTACCCGAAATCCCTTCTTCTAATCCGGCCCATCCAAACAGGCCCTTGGTGAAATTCAAAAATGAAAAACTTGTCAAATTTGATTTATCAGAGATTAATAATGTTTCACCTCCTGTCCTGCCTACTCCGACTTTCGACCAGAACTTGGAAAGTGCCAATATTAATAAAGTACAGTTTCCGGCTGAGAAACACACAACGGGTTGGGTTGACCGGGTCCCAGTCACCGAGTGCTCGGTTAAAACCGTTAACTCGAGCCATTGTGCAAGCAATCAGGTCACGAATGATGTGGATATGAGTTGGGCCTCCTCCAGCTGGGAGCTAGGTGGCAAAACGCACTTTGCTGGGCCCGAAGGGAAATGTGGTGGAAATATGGGCCGTCAATGTGAAACAGATAAAGAGAAACTTACGTCTTGTTCCGGAGGGTGTGGATGTAGTTTCCGGAACAAATTGAGCGAGACCAATAGCCTCAAAAGGAAGAGCCGGGACGTGGAGGAATCTGAGTGCAGAAGTGATGTATATATTCTTAACTCTTTTTAACTTTTGCTTACCACCCTCGAAATTTTTATCTTCCATGATGAGAAAATCACGAATGCCACCTTAATGTTACGCCTAATGGGAGCGTTTTATATTGCTTTAAGATGGCATCTCATGATTTCATACAATGAATGAAACTGTTCGTAATTACGCCAAACTGCAGGGGTAGTTTTTGCAATTAATTTTCAGTTTCATTCATTAAACTGTGCAGGCAACTGAGTTAGAGTCAGCTGCAGGAGATAAGTCGGCCCAGAAAGCTACTCGGAGGAGCCGCGTGGCTGAAGTGCATAACCTGTCCGAGAGGGTACAAACGGAAATTTCACATTAACAAAATCTTCTGTCTACCCCCCCTTTTTTTTTTTTTTTTTTTTTTTCCTTTTTAGTCCCTTTTGAATAAATATTCTGCTTATGTTATGTAGAGAAGGAGAGACAGGATCAACGAGAGGATGAGGGCATTGCAGGAGCTTATACCTCACTCGAACAAGGTAAGCTCTCAGTGTAGACCATATTTCCATTATATGTTATGTTAATTACAAAACAACCCCAGAAAAATCACGCTTAATAATAAAGAAGGCCTCTTATCTTCTAAGATAACTCCAAAGTAACCCCTTGTGTGCATATACCTTATAGCTCCTCTCACTCTTACAAGACAAAGGTACGTGTTTATCTGTAACTTTCGTACGCATCTGGGGCCTTTCTGTAATTAGGTTGAACTTGAGGGGCTGTTTATATAATTATACCAAGTTTGCTGCTAGTAAGCGTTCTCCTGTGGACCTGTGGTTTTAACCGTCTTCTCCTCACTAACTTTTAGCTCGTGGTTCTAGCTCATCGACTTTTACAAACTATTTTACTACTCTAATCTTTTTCTCGCTCAGTCAGATAAAGCGTCCATGTTGGATGAAGCAATCGAGTACATGAAATCTTTACAATGGCAGCTTCAGGTATGTTGTTATTATTTTTTTTTTCATTTTTACATGTATACTAATATATACTCCAATGCATGGAAAACAATGTTCATAAACTTAAGGTTGTACTTTTATTTACTTTTGTTATTTTTTTCGTGTTTTGTTATCAAGTTGTTGTGGATGGGAAGTGGCATGGGGCAAATGATGCTACCGGGCATGCAGCATTATATGTCCCGTTTTGGAATGGGTATGGGCCCGCCAGTTCATCCAGCTATTTCGAATCTCGTCAATCTATCGAGATTGCCACTTGTTGATCAGGCCATGAATGTAACTTCTGGCACAAATCAGGCACCGGTCAGTTATCAGAACCAGATGGTGCCAAATTCGAGTTTTGTCGAGCCGTATGGTAATTATATGGGATTTTGCTCGTTGGCAAATGCTCCACAGGTGCGTATAACTCAGTCTTTTGGTTCAGAAAACAAAAAAGTTTGTGTTTTGCCCTTCTTTAGCGAAAACCATATTAGTTTTTATTTGCAAGATAAAAGCAACTTCTGGTTCTAAATTGCTGATATTGGTTACCTATGAAATTGCCCGGCTCGTTGTGCTTTCGTTGCTACAAATCCATTTTTGGTGTTGTTTTTTTTACAGATCGTATGTGGTTTTTAACTAGTCATTGCTACTGCTTTGCAGCCAACAAATGTGTTCGACTTCGGTTTACATTCAACACAACAGAATCAGCTACCGAAACCTCCAAACAACGGCAATGTCTTCATGGAATAATCAACCACAGATAGTGCTTCAAATCATCTCAAAATCGGGCAGTCGTGGAATAATCAACCGCAGATAGTGCTTCAAATCATCTCAAAATCGGGCAGTCAAGTAATTTCCTCATTGTCTTCTCAAAGTAAAGAAAGAAAACTTTGGCATTGAGTATTCCGTAACTGCCCCAAAGTTCAGCCTATATACAAGAGGCCTCCCTATAGATTTATGTATACAATTTTTAACTCCTTTAGAGTGTATTCATAATTTCCCACACAATACTGTAATAAAACAACATTATTTCAGCATAGTTGCTCAATCTATAATGAATGATTTTATTGCATATTGTATCCAAATATCCTTTGAACTTTCTTTAGATTCAAATAACAAATGAAAATATAAGCCATTAGCTAACATTCACACAGAAATAGGAGAGCATACATCATAGTTCACCAAGCATTCATAAAATTACATTTAGCAAAACCAAAGTCCTAAAATCAACTTAAAAGAGCGCTCTTATTCTGAAAAGTCGTCGCGCGCATTAAAACGAACATTCATCACACCAATAATCGATCTTCTGATCATTCAATCGGGGGAAATTTTCTTCTATCCCACAATTTCACAGAGCAATCGGCAAACCAAACACCATACTCGGTTTCACTTAATAACCCATCATTATAAAGATTAAATTACATACGGGAGATTAAAAGCGGGACAGATACCGGGACCTCCTCGCCCATAACGGGCTGGAAAAGGTCCAACTCACCATAACGTTCCAATACACGCATTCTGCAGTCCTCGGCAGCCATGAGGCCCGTGGAGTATGCTCCGTGGACCGAGCCCGGGTAATCAAAACTCGTGGCCTCGCCAGCAAAAAATAAGTTATCGACAGGGATCCTCAGCCTTTCGTACAGATCGTGAGATTTGCCAACCGTGTCGTAACTGTAAGAGCCCAACGAGTTCTTGTCCGTGCCCCAGTGAGAGACTAAATGCTGAATCTGCATGTTTCGTGATAATGAATATTAGGGTTTAAATTAGAGCGAAAAAATAAATGCACCAATACAGAAAAGAGAGAATTCAAAAATAATTACCGGCTCAGAAGCATTTGGCAAGATCTTTTTAAGTTGCGTAAAAGCAAAGTTCGCAGCAGCTTCATCCGACATTTTTTCAATGTCACGGGCCAATTTTCCAGCTGGCATATAAACGAGGACCGGATGGCCGGTTGCCTTGTGGAGATTAAGGAAATAACTGCAGCTGTAAGAAGTCTCAGCAACTACCCCCAAGAACTCAACATTCGGCCAAAACACATTACCAAAGTGCAGGATAATCTTATTCTCGATCCCAACCCCAATCCCCTCAATAGCCTCTTCCTTCCAGTCGGGTAACCTCGGCTCAAATTTGACTCGATTTGATTTCAAGACACCGAGAGGAATAGCAATAACAGCAGCATCTGCAATAAATGTGCCCCCGTTTTCTACAGTTACTTTTACTCCATTATGGTGTCGATCTATTTTTGTCACACTAAAGCAAAAATAAAAAGGAAAAGAAAAATGTAAGCTTGGGAAGAACTGTACGTTATTATAGGGTTCAATCGAGAGGGGATATTCATTATCTTTTACCTGTGGCCGAGGCGGATATCGAGCCCTTTTGCAAGTGTATTGATTACAGGAAGATATCCACGTACCATGAGCCCATGCCCGCCAGGAAGCAGCTCTTCCTGAAGAACACAATATATAGCAAATGAGAGAATTAGCAATAATATTTAATAAATCAGAACCAAATTGTAGACTTTATTTAATGCTATTTTTTTTTCTGTTTAAAAGAAAAGGTGGATAAAACCTGGTCCCAGCTTTTAAGAGATATGGTATCAGCATCTGCAGAAAACCAGCCTTCCATTCTGCATAGGTACCATTGCAACACCTTATGTTCAAGCCCCTCCAACCTATAATGTGCGTACAACTTATTCATAAATATTCAGACAAGCAAAAGTAACTAATAATGTTCGAAAGGAATTACAAAAAATGGAACCTTAAATCTGGTCTCCTCTCAAAGACAATTGAGATTGCCCGCTGTATAGACATGTCTTCACTGAATTCCTGTCTTACAAGATCCGTCTGCAGAGGTATAGTAAATCGAATCAGAAAAGTGGAGAAGGAAATAAAATAGAACAGCCAATATTTAGGAATTAAAAAGAAAAGCATTTTGGCGGTACAAAAAGTGGAAAAGGTTGATCAAGTGGACAATGAATAAAGCTAATAAATTTGCTGAATGGGGATGACAGCCAGAGAGGAAAGTTGCGGATACCTCTTTCAAAATGGTCTCAAATGTTTCCCCAACCTTTGAGACTAGACCTTGTGGAACTTGTTTTCCATCCACATCATAAAGGGCATAACTGAAAAAAGAATTTTAAAAAATAAAAATAAAAAACAGGACAAGCC